CCCCCTGGCAGGGTGCCTTTCGACGTGGTCCTGTGGGCGCGCATCCTTGCCCTCAACTACGTCGTTGATAGGCCCTCTGCCGACCAGGGGGCTGCCAACACCAACGCTTGCCTGTCCCGCCTCGAGCTGCCCGGGGGCATTCTGACCTGCCAGTCGTCCTTTCGCCAAACCTCGCTGCCCATTCATATTGCTGGCCAGCTCATCGATGCTTTCAAGCCCAAACAACCCACCACCTGCAGGAGATGCGCCAAACACTGGCAAGTGAAGACCGACTCCGACAAGCCTGACTGATGTTCAGGCCACAATGGAGGACGGCTTTCGAGAAGAGGAGGACCCTCTGGGTACAGACACCCTCCGCACGGCCTCTGACCGTGGTCGCGCCCATGACCATCACGCACATCATCACCCAACCCATGCCGTCGACGGCCACCACTCCTACGTCAAACACGACGACGACGACGACGCACGATACCAGGACAGTCTTCACCGCCAACACCAGCACCAGCACCATACACAAGCCCACACCGAGTACACCTACCCTGTTTACGACGAGCCCCCTGAACTCTCTCCGACCGACACCCCGTACACTCCAGGCAGTCGCCCCGTAGCCACACAGACCACTTTCGACATTGACAGCCTTGACCCCTTCGCAGCTTCCGTGGCATTTGACAGTCCAACCGGCGACGGTATTGACGGTGGCATCGGAAGTCATGTCGTCGCGGTCGTGACACCAGACGACTTCTATCGTGACTATCGTAGCGCCTCCTCGACCCACCACCACCACCACCAGCACAGCCGACAGCCTTCCTCTTCGTCCGAACGCGCCCCAATGGCCACATCCGTGCCTCGACCGAGGGATCCCGCCTCCTTGCGGTCGAATGGCAACGGGACCACAGCCAAGCACCCTCCCATGCCAACAGCCCTCAACGGCCTCCGTACAGCGACAAGATCCGTTTCTGCCCCGATTGACCCTTCGAGCACGACGGGCCCCAAGAGGCTGAACAATGCAGCACGCCAGCCAAGCGTCAAGGACCTGACTAAGAAGTTTGACCAAGGCCCTCCGACCGCGATACCCCGGCTTCCCGTACGGACTGGTATCCCGTCACGACCAAACAAGCCTGCGACAAGCAGTGACAAGCCGCTACCCACTGCCCCCGTGGGTCAGCGTCAAACATCATATTCCACCCTCAGGACGTCCGTCGACCGTAACCTGACACCAGACTCCGCCAGGGCAACGCGGAGCACCCAGAGGACAAAGTTTGTCGCCGAAGACCAGGCTTCCAACAACTCGCAATCGTTTGCCAGTCGAATAGGAAAACCTCGAACGCCCGTGGCATTGAACGCACAGCCTTCGCAATCCACTCCAACCGTGTCGCAGAAACACTCATTCCAACCGATAACCGCCTCACCGAATGCGTCACCCATGATTCCTCCATCGCAAACCCTCCTCTTTGGCGAAATCCTACCCGATCAGCGCGATAACCACACCCTTGGTCATGGCATCGAGGGATCGGGTTCTCGGCCGCGAAGGACGTCGGAATCGAATGTGTCGAGCATTAGATCCGCACACCAACGCACTCTTTCCGACCCTGATCTGATTGAACCATCATCTCCAACCGATTGGTACCGTATCGCGAATGACGACACGAACGGCCTGCAGCCTCAACAAACACGTCACCTCAAAAGCCACGTGCGGGCGCAGAGCGACACGCCGTCCATCATTCCGCGAAAGCCGCCTCCGCCTGCTGTCGGAGCCACCGAGCGTAGTCGCGCCGTCTCGCCTTCGACACGACTGCCCATTTCTGTCCGAAGACTTGCCAGCCCGAGTCCCAGTCTCTCGACAAGCTCACCCTCCGGCGGGAACTCCAGAGCCAATTCCCCATCCAACCTGCATCGCATCAAACCCCACGGCAGACCCTCCAGGGCGGCAAGCGCTCAAGGCTATCGATCCAAAACACCGACACAGTCGACACGACAACGCGCCCCCTCAAGGGCTCACGACACCGAGCAACAACGTAGATTGACGCCTTACGGCGAGTACCGCTCCAGCTATCGCCACCATTACGCAGTCTCCGCCCTCGCAGTCTGTGCAACCGCCACCACGACCAGTTCACGGATGAAGGCGTTAGAACGGGCTCGGTCGCCGCACTATCATGCGACGCGCAACGCACAAAAGTCCACCGAAGCGCCTACACGGAGGCGCAAGATATCTGTCGGTCCGGTGGACTTCGAGCAGCGGAGAGAGCATATCAGGTTGGCGTACACAAAGTCCATCCGCGACAGCCAGGCACGCGAGGCGAGGCTCCAAGCTGCAGAGAGGCGAAAGAAAGAATTGGAAGTCGCAGCCCGGACGAAAGCCGCGCTGACAGCATCGCAAGCAGCTGCCAATCAAGACGAACGCACAGCACATGACCATGTTGCAGCTTCTGATCTCGACTCGCGATTGCTCTCGCCTCTGAAAATCCCAACAGGTACAGAGTGTAGTGAGCCCAGCCCAGCCACTCTGTCGCCGCAGCCCGATGTCGTCAAAGACTCCCCGACCCTTGGTATTCCAGGCAGTTTTCCAGCTGGTAGTCCCGCAATCGAGTTCGAAGAAGCGCCGCCGTCAGCGATTTCGATGGCGACCGATGTTACAGAGTTTGACGATGAGCCACAGGTTTTCCCGCTTGTTCAGCCCGATCACGGGGCTACCTCAAGCGGCCTGGGTCTGGCTTTGCCAGACATGCCTGGCAGCTTCACTGTGTCCGAGGCTGATGTCCCGGAGGACGACGAACGCCTCGGTGCTCGCACGCCGCCCTTTGAGGCCCCATCGACAGATGAACACGTCACACACCACGACTCATTCCCTCAGGAAGCCGTCGAGGATGAACAGGTCTCTATCAAGATCGCCGCAACTGATGTGCCTCAACAAACGTTTGAAGAGGCCCCACACTCTACGCCCAAGTATGTCGATAGCGAGCAAATGGCCGAGCCACAGCCCGACACCGCATCGAACTTGGAGGCTTACAAGGACGAGTACGAGCCTTTGCCGTATTCTAGCCCGTCACTGGAAACTACCGTCAAGATTCTTCACCGAGAATCCGATCAATTCACGAAGCCTGAACGTTCTTTGATCGCCAATGAGCCTCATGATGATTCCTACCACATGAGTCTAGACCAGCATGAAGCAAGGGCATTCCGCACCTTTGTTCGACAAGAGCAATCGCAGCGCGAGAGTGACAAAACGCATTCGCCGTCTCGGCAGGGTGAGCATCGACATGACACGCCACTGAGTTACCGAATCAAAGAGGGGCTGGTATCCAGCAGGGTCTCGACATGCGATTCCGATGCTCCTGACGACACGTACCAGACCACTCAAGATAGTCTGCCAACGCTAGATACCTCGCATAGCCTGACGATACCGCCGCTGCTGCCCGTCGCCAGTCGTTACAGTCATCAGTCTGCATGGACAGACTTTTCCGTCGAAAGTAATGAGATGGCCGACTATTCACCGAGGGATTCTGCTCGACACAGCGACGCCCTTCCACTGCCAAACCCGCCCTTCGCGTCAGACGCCCGGTATCGTTCTTCGCCGAGCGGCGCCTCATCTGCCAGGCACAGTGAATTATACGGTTCAGAGCCGTCGCTACTCGAAATGGCAGACGGACATTCATCTCCAAGGTCCAAAGAACCGCAATTGCCAGAACTGGACACTGGTGGGGGTTTCTCGATTCCATACTTGTCGGACAGACTAAGTAGAGATTTCTCTTCCGTCCCTCTGCCCGAGTATAGCCCTCCTCCAGTGCCCTTCTCTCATGCAGGATCCATTAAAGACTCCCGCCGGCCGCCGTCGAGCAACTACCAACCAGAGACACGGCCAGGTAGCACTTTGGTAGGAACATCCAGAAGACCAAGTGAAGATCTGACACGACCTACATCAAACGCACACTCGATCGACCACACATCCCTCTCAACGCGGGACCCATCACTCGGGAGCCAGACGCTCTACGATCAGACGGACACCAAAGTTTCCTTGACCGGCGAGGCAGACAAGGACCAAAGCGTACCGATCACGAAAGAGCAGCGGCGCCTCCAGCAGCGGCGAAATGTCATCAAGGAACTTGTGGACACAGAGATGGTATTCGTCCGCGATATGAACATCGTCGAGGAAATCTACAAGGGGACGGCAGAGGCGTGCCCGAAACTGGACGGCAAAACGAGCAAAATTATCTTTCGAAATGTGGATGAGATTGTGGCCTTTCACACGGCTTTCCTTGTGCAACTCAAGGATGCCGTTGCTGCTGTTTACGTCCCTCAAGGTCGACGATCTTCTGCACCAAAGGAGGCCTCTATCAAGTCCAATTCGACTGGATCGAATTCTGGTGCACAGAGCCAGACGGAGTCAGACGACGCCAAGGATCGCACGACGACGCTGGGTCCGCTGTTCCAGTTGAACGCCGAGAAAATGAAGATTGCACACGAGGGGTTTCTCCGAAACAGCGATCTCGCCGCCAAAAGCCTTATCCGGATTCAGCAAGACCCCACTGTCCAGGTGTGGTTGAATGAATGCCACGAGGTTGCCAAGGATTTGACTGCGGCATGGGATTTGGACTCACTCCTCATCAAACCTATGCAGCGACTCACCAAGTACCCGAATTTGATCCTCACAATTTTGCAGCACACACCGCCAGACCACCCAGACCGACCTGCTCTTGTTGCTGCCAAGGATACGCTGGAAGTTGCCATCATCGAGATCAACAAGACGAAAAAGAACTTTGAGCTCGTGGGCCAGATCGTTGGGCGAAAGCGTAAAGAATCAGACGTCAAAGCTGGTTTCGCCCGCGCATTCGGCAAACGCGTTGACCGCCTCCAGGCGACAAGCACGCGCATCCCTGAGGACCCTGAGTACGCGAAACTGCACGAGAAATTTGGTGACGACTATCTCCGGCTCCAAGTTGTCCTTCGGGATGTAGAATTCTACACCCGTCAAGTAACGAGTTATGTCCACGAATTTCTCCAATACCTTTCGTCGATGGAGCTTGTCATGAGACTTCAGCCAGGCAGCTACCCAGAGATTGAAAGCAAATGGGTACAGTTCAATGTATCCATGAGAGACATAGAGAAGGTTGCGTTAGATCAGCATCTTGCCCAAGTTCGGAAGCAAGTCATTGAGCCCTTTGAACTCGTCATCAAGGCGTACGGAAACCCGTCCTTGGCCATGAAGAAGAGGGAGAAACGCCGGTTGGACTTTGAACGAGCTGAACAGATCAGAAAGGGTGGCAAAACACTGGATCCGAAGCTGAAAGAACTTGTCGAGCAGTACGATGCGCTGAACGATACGCTGATCAAAGAGCTGCCCCAGTTGTCCGCCCTTACGGAGAAGGTTGGAAAGATCTGTCTGGAGAATCTCGTCAACATACAGGCCAAGTGGTATTCGATCTGGAAGGACAAAGTTAAAGTTGTCCTTGCAGACACTTCGTCGCTGCCAGAGATGCCCGATGTCGTCTCGATATTTCAACATGACTTCAAGTTTGCGCAAGAACAGCTCGACACCATTGGCATTCTTCATCCCGAGTACAAGGGTAGAGCATCTCAGTCGACCATTACGACGAGGGCCAGCACCGAGGACGGAACGCTAAGGAACAGACCCCGCCCCGCGGAGCTCACTCCGCGGAATCGCGGTCGCTCAATGAATAGTGAACAGATCCCGGCCTTGCCCACACCGGAGTTCAAGCGCAATAGCGGGCAGTTCACCCTCTCCCCTACGAGCACAGTCCCGAGCCCTCACCAATACTACTATCGCGATTATTACACCAATGCCAATGCCACCGCCACCGCCACCGCCAGCGGCAGCGGCAGCGGCAGCGGGCAGCGACCATCCGTACCGCCGTCGCCCCGGACCGAAGATTCGTCGCCAAGCTTGCGCGCTGCGGGCGGTTATCCTCTGGCAAGACCCAGTACTGGGAGGAGCTATGACTCTGGTGGCTTGCCAGGGAAAGTTCCGACTCGAGCCTGCATAACAGGCGGGACTCGAACTCGACTTATAATTCTGGTTACCCTGCCACAGAACCCAAGCGTTACTCGGGGTTATTCCACTCGGCACTACCATTGCCAGACAGTGCCGAAGAGAGCCAGAGGTCGTCCCGAGCGTCCTCAAGAGAACGCCTCCCCGAAAGCAGCAGTTACAATGTGCTATGGCTTGCTGCGTCACTGTTTGAGTTCAATATTGAGACGACAAAGAACGAAGCCGGGTATCCTTACCTCACATATCAGGCAGGCGAGGTAAGACTCGTGCAGCCTTGACCTGATTGATGCGCGCTAACTGAACATTGATAGATCTTTGATGTGATTGCCGAAAAGGGTGAATTATGGCTCGCTAAAAACCAGGACGATCCGAGAGAACAAGTGGGTTGGATATGGTCCAAGCACTTTGCCAGGCTGGCCGACTCGTAGCCACGAGTCCAGCTCGGGTATTTGCATCTTCAGACACACAAACTCGCATATGGCCTCGGAATCTAGCGCCGGTCTACATTGCGCATATGAATCGCCTGCACTCACGATTGCTCGCATATCTGCATACCGATAGCATAGTTTGCGAGCGTTGCCAAGTACATAGATCACCAAGAAGGGAGGAAGCAGAGGCGGGTTCGCAAAGACCGGCGTTTTGCTCTTCATGATTCTTACTGTACTATTCGTCACGACAAAAGGGGTTCCTGGCCACGAACAACCAATATTCTGCTTCTTTTTGCTTCTTTGTACAGAAATTTACCCTTCAGCGATGGGTAGGGAAGGGTGTGGGGTCTTGACGCGGCGTTTGAGGATCTTGCAGCGAAATGATGAAAGGTTTTCAGGGAAGGGAAGGGACTTGGGGGTCGGATGACCATGTTGCTCTTTCGCCCCCATGTTTATATCAAAGCCTGTGCGTGTGCGTTGGGCAAGTTCTCGTTTTAGGAAGAGAGGGATCCGGAGAGAGGAATCAGCAATGAAAAAAAGAGCCTGTTTCTTGAGCGGTTTCGTTGTGTCCTTTTCCTGTCAGTATTTGTGTTTTATTCTCAGCCTGCCCGGTTCGACCGGCAGGTGGATTCGGTCGTTCTGGGTGGGAAAGGGGGCAATAGACCGACGGCCTATATCATATGTATGTAACAAATGGTGGAGTAGCAACAACGGATGCCAAGCCGGAGTATACATATGGAAGGTTTCGTAGCTTGAGCCACGTCGGGACCTCGTATTCTAAGGGGTTGTTTTCGAGCTTTTGACATGTCTTCGCTGGCAGTTAACACTACTCCGCGATGGCCTGCGCTATCTCGCCTAGGAAGGCCGCCGCGTCCTCGGGCTGGTAAGGCAGGTCGAGCACCTCGTTGAAGCCGGCAGCGCGGCAGGCCTCGGGCGGCTCCGTGGGGATCGAGCTGGCGGCGGCGGAAGGGTTGCCCAGCGCTATGTCGTCGTTGAGGTCCATGACTGCGCTGAGGCAGCCCGTGAGCGGGGCCGGGGGGAGCAGGAGCTGCGGGAGGGCGGAGGTTGTCCGCAACAACAGCAGGAGGAGGAGGGAGCAGCGAGGCGCAAAAGACGGGATGGCGAGTGCTGAACGGTTCATCATTATGGAGAAATTCTTTCTTTATCTTCTCTCAAGAACTTTTTTGAGCGCTCGGATGATGATGCCTTGTCTCTTGTCGTGGTTGTGAAGAATTGCGCGT